TCTTCCCTCAAGGTTGGTCATGTCCAGAATGATTTTCTGGATTGATTGAGGAATCAGCAGTTCAAATGATGACACTATATCATGAACATGTGTCACAGCCATTCATGTGGGTCCTGGTACCATCCTTATTTTGTTAAGGATAAGGATAATCACCTTTATTGGCCAAGTATGTTACAGAACCAATGGCAGCCATCTGCGGCACCACCTCAACCGATGGCTCTAACCATCGGGGGCAATGGTGGGGTTCAGTGTCTTGCCCAAGGACACTTTGACATGTGGACTGCCGGCACCAACATTCGAACCTTCAACCTTCTGGTTGGGAGATGACTGCTCTACCCACCGCACCACTGTTTCCTCCCCCGCACCACTGTCGCCTCCCCAAGCAGCTGAAACAGGGGCTTCACCCATTGGAGATGAAAACCATTCAATCTGGCCATTCTTGGATGTAGTTGGCTGTGGGGCTCCTCCAGCAGTGAGATCTGTAGAGTCTTCATCCTCAAATTCACTCTCATATTCAGAAGTTTCTTCAGTATTGTCCTCATATTCTGAGACATCCTCTTCTTCCCCTCCATTATCTCTCTCACTCTCTGCTAAAAATAGACCTAAGGCCTTCTGAGCAGTGTACCTTTAGCTCATGGTGCTGGACAATTGAAGATGAAATGACACACTACAATCAAGAGCTATTTATACGTAAATATAATGTATAGTCCATGTAGTTTCAGGTCAACAGCTTTTTTCTTTTGTCATTTTTCTTTTAGTAAAAATCTGAAAATGGGTCCATTTGACCTAAGACAAAATGACACATTTTATGATGTAAGGAACAGTGTAATTTGATTAAATTTAAACTTGGGCATTGAGCCATAATGTTGTAGTCAAATCATTTTTCTAATTAAATACATTTTTGAATGTAATGTCTTGTTTATTCCAAGTAAAATATTTGAATTATCAAGATAACTTAGATGGGTCAATGATTGGCAGCATCATTTTGATGCTTTTTTTTTTTGCAGTGCACAGTCACAAAAAATACATCCATAAAAGGCCCTAGGGACACATTTGTCCCCATTGAAAACCATTAAAACGCTATTTTTGAGTCTAAAAATACCCCATGACACCTCAAAACAATATCTCCATGCATAGTTTTATTTTCAACCATTGACTTTCAACTTGCAATCAAACCATGCAGATAAATTCTTCCAAATTTCACACTTTTCTCATTGTTTTTTGCAAGGATGCCTTGCTAATGATGAATAAAAATGATAAATTGTGTATTACTATTGAACTTATATGGATGCAGTTTGGCTGTGTGTGAATTTACGTGCGTTTTGTCATGCGCATATATACGTTCACGCGCGTAAGAGGTTCTAGCAAGTAGGCTTGTGTGTGTCTAACTTTTAGAAGGTAACACTGTTTTCAACAATAATTAGATGAGAAGCAGACTCGTCACGTCTGTTGATGCAGAATCAGCTCTGGTCAGGTCTGTTCATGCACACTCCATGCATTGTAATGCAGTGGACCCTCTATTGAGGGCCGTCCGGTCCCTGTATGACCGGAGCAGGAGCTTGGTTTGCATTGCCAGCAGTAAGTCAGACTTGTTCCCGGTGCATGTTGGACTCCAGCAGAGCTGCCCTTTGTCACCGGTTCTGTTCATCATTTTTATGGACAGAATTTCTAGGTGCAGCCAGGGGCCGGAGGGAGTCTGGTTTGGGGAACACAGGATCTCGTCTCTGCTTTTTGTGGATGATGTTGTCCTGTTGGCTCCATCAAGCCAGGACCTTCGGTGTGCACTGGGATGGTTTGCAGCCGAGTGTGAAACAGCTGGGATGAGAATCAGCACCTCCAAGTCCAAGGCCATGGTTCTCAGTCAGAAAAGGGAGGCTTGTTCCCTTCAGGTTGGTGGAGAGTTCCTGCCTCAAGTGGAGAAGTTTAAGTATCTTGGGGTCTTGTTCATGAGTGAGGGAAGGATGGAACGGGAGATTGACAGGCGGATTGGTGCAGCTTCTGCAGTAATGTGGTCAATGTACCAGTCCGTTGTGGCGAAGCTCTCAATTTACTGGTCGATCTACGTTCTGGCTCTCACCTATGGTCATGACCGAAAGGGCAAGATCCCGGATACAGGTGGCCGAAATGAGCTTTCTCTGCAGGGTGGCCGGGCGCTCCCTTAGAGATAGGGTGAGGAGCTCGGTCACCCGGGAGGAGCTCAGAGTAGAACCGCTGCTCCTCCACATCGAGAGGAGCCAGCTGAGGTGGCTCGGGCATCTGTTTTGGATGCCTCCTGGGCGCCTTCCTAGGGAGGAGTTCTGGGCATGTCCCACCGGGAGGAGGCCCTGGGGAAGACCCAGGACACACAACAGGGACTATGTTTTTCGGCTGGCCTGGGAACGCCTCGGTATCCCCCCAGAGGAGCTGGAGGAAGTGTCTAGGGAGAGGGAAGTCTGGGCATCTTTGCTTAGACTGCTGCCCCCGCGATCTGGTTCCAGATAAACAGAGGAAGTTGTATGGATGGATGGACATTACTTGGGAAAACATTACAACTCCTTTGACTATAATGTTCAATTAATATAAGTGAAGTAGAATCTGTTCCTTTATCAGTATCTGTTCTATTTTTGTTGCCTTGCAACCTTCACTGAGGCAGACAAAAAAGATGTCGCTCTTTGATTGTGACTTTCTGCTGGTGACACTGTGCTTTCATCATAAGGGCCTTCATCCTGTGATGATGGTCACAGTAATGACTAGCTCTCTGCCTGGCGCTGTGGTGACAGTGAAGCTGCATCTGCACCATGTACGGGAAGGAGGTCCTCTGAAGTTATCTGTGTCCAAACTGCACTGCACCTTTCAACCCTGCCACCCCATCTCATACACTTTCATTTGGGATAAAAGGAAAAAGTCAGCTTGATATGATCTGTTTCCACTGTGATTTTAAGCATTTATTGAAGTATTACTGCTTGAGTAATGTTGCCTAAAAACTACAATGACCAGCTGTTTAAAAATTCCTGAGTTTAAAAAAATGGCTGGATAGTGTAATGGTAAGATTGCAGAAGAAGAACAACGAGATGGACAACCAACAATAGCAGTAGGCTACTCATCCACCAAACCCCCTCTACTAGAGGGCACAGCCACTGATATGAGGCAGAGAATAATGGATAAACTGCCTACACTTAACCCAACAGGCACCAACAAAGCCATCACAACAATCCCTACTGCCACCATAACTGAACTGGTACAGTAGCTACATGAAATAGGGCCATATTTTTATTCTTACAAGGGTTGTTTCAGACTCTATACACAAACTACGTAAAACACAGCTGTAGACACAAGGGTCAGGCAAGTATATATTTACATAAGCAGTGGCTGTGTGTAGCTTGCATAGAGTCTGAAAGAGCCCTAAGAGTATAAGAATTTAAGTTTTATGTTTGCACAATAAAATAAATATGCAGTCAAGTCAGTGTAGCTATGAGAATGAATTAATAGCAATTGTGCTGCTACCTCAGAGTCAGTTGTATAAAGAGACCCCCAGCCAGTCAGAAACGACTGTTCTCAGTGGCCTTGTGACAGCATATATATATACACTAATATGCATACAAACACTTATGGATATGAAACACTGAAGCTCAGCATATCACTCATCACTGTGTGAAATCAAGCCCTGACTGACTGAATGCCACTGAAACGTGGCAGCAAAATGAAAGAGAAATAACATTGTGTGACATCAGCAGTAGTTTAGGCCTGGAGGAGGAGAGTTATTTCTGTCCTGACTCATGGACCTTAAAGCTCTACTGCTCCATCCATATGTTTTGCTCTGCTACTTTACTGTTCCTATCTGCAGGAATGTTCCTTTTATTGTGAAATGTGCTTCATGAGCAGTCATTCTCTCCTCTTTCTTCTTTCTGACATACATAATTTATTTGATACTAACAACAATTAGCGGTGAATGAATACAGCAGTACAGCCCCAAACTGTAAATACACTTTAACATACAGCTAGTTTTCTCCTTACTTTTTCTGAAACTTCACTTTACCCACAAACCCACAGCAGCACCCACAGACCAAAAAGTCAAACTTTGTCTCCTTTGTGGTGTCTCCAGGTCACCGCACTCTGTACATTGGGGTTCATGTACCCCTGGGCAGGCGCTCGCACCGGCGTCACCGTCACCACGGACACAGACACAGGAAGAGGTCCAAGGAGAGGGACTCTTCAGTTGATGATGGACGAGAATCCCCCTCTCACAGTAGGTGTCTGAGATGGACTGGAGAAAACTTCAGCAAGTTCAAGTTGCCTAAAATATATGTAGATGTACATTTCACTCAAGAAGTTTTTACCCATTAACATCACTACTTATGTTTTCATCAATAATCTTTCCTTTTCTCCTCCTTTTCCTTATCACCGCTTGTCCTCTGCCTCTCCCATTGGTTGCAGTAGACACACCAGCTCAAAGGGTGCAGTTTCTCTTGGGGACAGAGGATGGTGATGAGGAACACATCCCCCATGCCCTGTTCACCGAGCTGGACGAAATTTGCGTCAGGGAGGGTGAGGATGCGGAATGGAAAGAGACAGCAAGGTACATCGCAGCAGTCAGCTACATGGGCTCTTAACTGTTTTCCTCTGTTGAACCTGAGACTTTGATTCTGTTTATGTCTGAATGCCTGCTTTTATCATTTAGTGATTTTTGTCATTCAGACATGTTAATGTTTTTTCCATGTGCAGATGGCTTAAATTTGAGGAGGATGTTGAGGATGGTGGAGAGCGGTGGAGTAAACCCTACGTAGCCACTCTGTCTCTACATAGTCTTTTTGAGCTTCGTAGCTGCATCATGAATGGCACTGTGATGCTGGATATGAGGGCGAACTCACTGGAGGAGATTGCAGGTAAATGGGGGGCTTTTCTTCTCAGATTACTGAAAACAACAAAGGATTTTACCATAATTATGCAGATGATGCACATATTTACTTTTTTAAGTACTCCACTGATTTAGCATACAGTAGCACTTTTATAGCACTGTCAGTCTCACAATAGATGCAAGATGAAGAGCTTAAACTCACTGCAGCAGAACCAGAGACATTGCATTTTTTATGCCATGCATTCTTGTTTATGGTCAAAACCTGATGCCTATATATCCCACAATGCAGCTTGACCAAAGACAGTTCAATTTGAGATGCAGGTGTGTGCTGTATGCTAGTAGCAGCTGGCAGTGCTTTAGGAAGGAATAAGAGAGCTGTTTTAGTTTTGGATGGTACAAAAACTGTTTTGGTCTCTATGGCTAATTTCTCCTTCCATGACAAGTGTATGGGAGGTGATTTTTTATATAACTCTCCCATTTAAATTATTCTGGGGCAAAAAGTCCTGCATAATTAAGGGCATGGCCACTTTAAGTGACAGGCAAGAGGGTCCCACCACAGGTGGCTAGCCCTTAATTGTCTAGAAGAGCTGTTTTAGAAATCAAATCAGGTGGTCACCATCTTGGTAGTGCTTCACTCCACCTCTTTGCCCTTTTTTGCATTAGCCAAAGCAGGTGGAGTGAAGCACTACCAAGATGGTGATGGCCAGATTTGAGATTTAAAACTGGTCTTCAGAAAACTAATGGGTGATGTCACAGAGGGTTTGTCCATCTTTTATTGGAAACATACATCTGTGTATTTCTGTTTATATTTCACAGATATGGTTCTGGATCAACATGAGATGTTAGGCCCTTTAGGTCTGGATGCCAGGATGAAGATCCGTGATGCCTTACTCAAACAGCACCACCATCAAAACCACAAGAAACTGGCCAACCGCATCCCAATTGTACGCTCCTTTGCAGATATCGGCAAGAAACAGTCCGAGCCTCATTCCATGGACAAGAATGGTGAGCAAATGATCACAACTACACACACACATGTCAGTTTCCAAGACTGCAGTCTTTCCTGTATCCTCTGTGGTGACCATATATGTGGTTGTATGCATATACAGTATCTAGTATGTTTAATATATAAAGATGTAACCCTTTGCATGTTTATATATTAAACATACTAGATACTGTATATATAAAGATGTAACCCTTTGCATGTTTTTTTCCCAGTGTCCATTTGTGACTTGTGGTTTTACTGCAATTTGATCTCATTTTCTCCTCTTGTTTGTGTTTCTCCATGTTTGTTCTTGTCTGCTGTATTATGCATGTTTGTGTGCATGTGTGCCATTCACTTAACTAGTAACTCTACCTCTATTTAAATTCTCCCTGAAAATATACTCCACAAGAATGTCCTGCACAAAAAAACATTTTCCCATGTGGCACCACCACAGTCTGTGTGTTACATGTCACATCTGTCCACCCCTCAATCACTTTTGAACTCCTCTAGGATGCATGGCAACATGAGCCCAGAAACGCCTTTTGGCAAAACCAAGATCAAAGGTCTTAGAGTTCTTAAGGCAGTTGCAATGGGCTACTGTCCCATCTCACAGGAAGATACAGATCCTGAAATTTGCACAGGCAACCCAGATGCCTTAGCAGATGCTTAACACTAAAAGTATAGACATACGTTACTAGTAGTAATAGTACATAAAGGAACACATTACTGTAAAAGAAGAGAGTGTCATCAAGAGAGATTAAAAGTGAGACATTAACAAGAAAGGTTGATGGTATTACATATGCATAAGTTTTTTATAGACTGCTTTCAGCATCTTTAGGTAAGTGGTAGTCATTTGCTAGAATTAGTATTTATGAGTGGCAAAACATGCATGTGCCATTTTTTGATAATACTCTCCTCATTTGTCATTTTCATCAGTGTGTTTGATTACTAGAAACTGTAGAAACTTTGTACGACTTCATATTCTAAACTCATTGCTAATTACTCATATTGGTAGTTATTCACTTTAAATTCAGTGTGTAAAATAATAACAGCCAAAATAATTTTCATTTTGTTGCATTTTGACTGGTTAATTAAAGGAATAATTCAACATTTTAGGATATATGTTTATTTACTTTCTTGCCAAGCTAAATATGTCTGTGCACTATCTGTGAATCTATGGCCAGTAGCCTGTTATCTTAACATAGAGACTGGAGCATGGAGAAACGGCTAACAGCACCTCTAAAGCTCATTAATATATAGTATATCTTATATCCCATGTGTTTATTGGGGGTGTAAAACAGTAATTTATTTGGGTTATTACAGATTAAATTGACAAGATATCAGCTGTTCTTAATTATGCTTTAGAAGTGGATTTTATTAGCACTAGACAGAGTCTGGCTAGCTGTTTCCAGTTAGCTAAGCTAAGCTAGCTGGCTAATGGTTATAGCTTCATAATTAATGGACAGTCATAAGAGAGGTATCAGTCTTTTCACCCAACTCTCAACAAGAAACTGTATAAGCATATTTCCCAAAAGGTCAAACTATTGTGTTAGCATCACAGACTGACTGAAACAGCCAGCATCTGAACAAGCCTCATTTTAACATTCTCTTCAGGTGCTTTGATTTCCTGCCACTAGTACTTTCATATCACAATAAATTGCTCGAAAGCAGAATTTTTAAAAGGAGCAATCTTTGACTTTGTTTCAACAGAATGAAAATGAATTGAAATGAGCTCCTATTAATCAATACATGGAAATTTTAAAACTTCAAAGTTAAAGACTGAACCTCTTTTAGTTTACTAAATCTGATTTGGGAATGTCATTCTTCAAATGGTCTTAATATTTAACAATGTCTCTGGAAAAGATACAGTATTGTAACTTTTGTTACTAGGGTTGTATCTTTTCATCAGGAAAGGTGTAGCACCTACAACAAAAGGGCCCACTGCTGTATCACATTTTTCAGAGTATGTAATTGTACCATGTAGTCACTCACTGGAGACCTTTGTCTTTGCGTGGGATAATAGTATTGCTATAGGCTGAGCCTCCCTGGAACTGACATGCTGTTGTTTTCCGATTCTGCCTGACAGGCCAAACAGTCTCACCTCTGGCCCAGCCGGCCAGCACTGAAGGCAAACAGGACGTCAGCCGAGAAAACAGTTCTGTTGACTTCAGCAAGGTGAGCAACCGGACCCACCACTGATATTGCTGTTTATCTACAGACACCGATAGCTAGACACGCAACTAGGTGCTGTGTATTTAACCAAGATTGGGTTGCATGTGAAATGCTTGTTTTCTTTTGTTGTGTGAGCCATTATAGTCAGATTCAGCCTGTATTTTGGATTTGTATTTTAATAATTGGTGATACTGTAATAACCCCTCCCAATCCCTCTACCACTACATCACCCCATATTACATCACCCCATACTAACATTTATACTAATCATTTGTCCAAAGATGCACTGTATTCTTGTTTTGGTTTCTGTGGGTCTCACAGATTGACCTCCACTTCATGAAGAAGATCCCTCCTGGTGCTGAGGCATCCAACGTCCTGGTGGGTGAGCTGGAATTCTTAGACCGCCCTGTGGTGGCCTTTGTCCGCCTGGCTCCTGCTGTGCTGCTCAGTGGCCTGGCCGAGGTTCCCATCACCACTAGGTAATACATGAACTGCTTATTTCTAGGCATGCACCAATACCAGTTTTTTCAGACCATGTACAAGTACTGATACTGAGTACCGATACAAGTAGACAATGATGCAATGTTTCTACTATAAAAACTACAATTACCATAAAAGTGCAATGACTTTAGATACAGTTTTTTATTTCATGAGATTTACTTTCTGACAGTGATTGAATAAAATATCCTATGTAACAGAATGCTGTGCAAATTACCGAAAACTTTCTATAATAACAAACACAGCAATGCTGCCATTCCTATTGAATAACAAGTAACTGACTGAATTTCTGTAGCCTGCTACACAGCATATTGTAATACAGTGGCTCTGAACCTTTGTAGGAGTATGACCCTGTGTTAGGATGTAATGATTTCACAACCCCCTGACCAAAACATCACAGTTTAGGAGCACAGCCGGCAATTAAAATGTTTAATGTGGTGACATATTTATACTTTAAACTGGCTGCTGTCTGTGGCTCCATCCTGTCCTCTCTGCTGGACATTTTGATCATGGGGAGATGCCACATTTCTGCAAGTTTGTTGTTGTGTTGTTTCGTCAACTGGTGTTTGACTAATTACTCTCTCTATTGTATCAGACAACTTTTATGAGTAGCGAGTACAGCACTGTAGGGTGGTATTAGACCTGATGCTGGTATCGGCATCAGAGCATCCATACTCAATTCTGTTTCTTAACTTCTGTATTCTGTGTCAGGTCTGGATAGATATGATACACCTGTGAATGCTTCATTATAAAAAGGACTTTTAACTAAAATTTGTTGTTCTCTCTGCTGAACAGGTTTCTTTTCATCCTGCTTGGCCCTATGGGCAAAGGTCCACAGTATCATGAAATTGGCCGTTCAATTGCAACCCTAATGACTGATGAGGTGAGGCCTTTGTTATAGTTAGTGAAGATGGAGCTCATTTTAAGTACTCAAGCACTGAGCTTTCTAACTGGCACAAATCTCAATGTACGTACTGTATTATAATGTCTATAGTTAAATCCTAAAAATCTTATGCTGCAGTGTAGTAAAAATATGCCATTCTTTTCTTTAATTTAAATCAGCTTATTTAACAAATGTTCTAGAAATTAAGGTTTGTAACTGTAGAACACTAGAAAATTCTTTAAACAAAGTGATTCATATAAAAACAGGTTAAATTATTCCTAATACACATGTAGATTTTCTTTTTTTAAGTATGACATTTTAGTCTAGACTTGATTCCAGACTCAAATGACAGGATATGAGAAAGATTCTTAAACTGAACAATGCAGTACATGCTACAGGCTGATCGTATAATTTGTATGAAATCTGTTCAGTAACTCTAGTAAAGTAATAACTTGAACATTTCCCTTTAAAATGTAGAAGTACAAGTGTAAAGTGGTAGAAAATGGACATGGAATGTAAACATAAGTACTTCAAAAGTGTACTTAATTTCATCACTGGATGTCAGGGACATTCAGTGTTCAGTGCCAGTGACAATTCATGCCAGGTTTTTGCACATGCTTAGCTCATGGATAGTTACTTATGCTTTAATAAAGAAAGAAAGCAGCAGCATTTTAAGTTAAAAGGAAAACCATAAAAAACACGGATGTATTATTTAGTAAAGGGCATTTTTAAATATTGTGATAAATATCATATTGTGGACTTATCATGGTGATACTGTACTGTGAGTTTTTGGTATCGTTATATCCCTTTGCTTACTGTAGATATTTTAAAGAAGAACAAGAGGCTCTAGAGATGTAATTATCCCAGGAGAGATTCAAACCTATATATTTAAGGTCAACTGAAAGGAAGAAAGTCACTTTCGGCTTTTTCCATTTAGGAGTCACCACAGCAAATCGTCACACTGACGACTTGCATGTTGACATTTGGCATGTGTTTTACGACAGATGCCCTTCCTGACACAACCCTGATTCGAACCCGGGGGCGCAGCGGCGAGAGTGCTGCGCCTCAACAACTAGCCTACCCAGGGATGGCATAATATTTAAGGTCAACTAATAGTTGGAATAATGATTATGAGATATTTTTGTGGTATTAGGGTAGCTTAGAGGGGAGGAAACCATCCCATAAGTCAGAAGTCCATCTTCTAGGCTTTTGAGGATCAACAGAGTGACAAGATTTCCCACAGTGCAGTTATGATCTAATGAAACATCAGAGCCAGATGTTGCTTTTTTTCACTGGCAGCTGTCCTCTGGGATGTATGAAAATAGATGTGTGTGGATGTCAACCTACTTCATCATACATGGGAATGAACTGTAGCTATCACTGTGATTTGCTTTTCATCCATTGCAAGCAAGAATCATTTTCAGTATTCCAATAAGCTGTTTATGAAAAAACAGACTAAAAACACTGACTAGATTCAGTAGGTAGTTTTCCTTATACTCCTGTATATGGAGACAGGAGTATTAGTTTCCCTGGCAAACCCTTTATGGCACTTTTATGAGTCTCCATCTGTAAATCCATGAAAATGCACTCAGTGGTCCAGCATGATAGAAGTACAGACCCAACAATTAAAGCAATAATTATTTCAATCGTTGTCTCTCCCATTATCTCCTCCACAGATTTTCCATGATGTTGCTTACAAGGCCAAAGACAGGAATGACCTGGTAGCAGGCATTGATGAGTTTCTGGACCAGGTGACAGTGTTACCCCCCGGAGAGTGGGACCCCTCCATCAGAATAGAGCCTCCTAAAAATGTGCCCTCTCAGGTGTGCTTTTTTTTTTTTTTAGATCAAAAAACAACTTGGTTAAAAGTCTGACATGGTCCATCAATTCTCCCTGTATATTACTATGCTGTCATAACATGTCTGAGTACCTTCTGCTTTTTGAGAAATATTTAAACGTCTGTGTTCTAATCTCAACTGTGTATTACTCTGTGCTTTGAAGCTGCTCCCTAGGGTTCTGCTCTCAATCCTCTCAAAAACACAAGTGATTTTTTATTTTGGTCTGATTAGTTATTTTGGTCTACTTTGAAATGCAAGCCACCAACTTGTTTGGGAGAGAAATTTTGTTATCTAACAAAAAGGGTGCTACAGATGATTATAAAAATAGTGAGGTTGTTTAAAATCTTATTTGTCTTTTCCTCTTTGTCATTAGGCTCCTGTGGTGATTTAATGACATTCAACTGTGCAGTTAAATTGTTACGCTGATGACCTCAGAATTGTCCTTATGATGATGACCAACAGCCTACAATTGACTGACAGTAATCTTAACCACACAGGAAAAGAGGAAGATTCCTCCTGTTCCCAACGGAGTGACAGATCTTGTAGAGTCGGAGGAACACGGGGGGCATGGTGGTCCTGAGCTGCAGCGCACTGGGAAGTAAGTGGAGGAGAAACACAGGATGATGTGCAATGTACAGTCAGGTGCTCTCTGAGCTCCTCGTTGTGCCATTCTTTTGGCCTGTTAGCTTCCTCCCTTTCCCAAACTATAAATTTTGCTCTCTTAAGAAACTGATTAGCCTACTGGCCCATTATCATTCCTCACCCATTAACTCCACAGAGACTTTTTGTTTCAGCTTTACTAAGTTATCCAAGGATCCTACCTCACATTCTCCAGTATAGCAACAATAATATATTATTTAACACTTTGAGTATTTCTTTGTCTGCATACAATATATAAATGACATCATATCATATGTCATATCTACATTTATGAAGGATTAGATAGTTGGAAACTTGGGAATGATTTTACACACAACCTTAGTGAAGGATTTACAAATAGCTAATGCAACCCAGTGCAGATGTAGAAATGTTTGGCAAAAACTTCTAAGAATTCAAATTTTGCCTCTTGTTATTCCTGTGCAGAATGAAGGCAGACATGAAGCATCTTGACCTCAAGAGTTTCACATTAATTTTCAGGTGCAAAACTATGATTTCACAAAGCAATTACTGAGACATGCAGAAGGGATTAAACAGGAAAAATAGCCTGATGTCATCATCCAGAAATTTCCTTGTGACTATCAGGGGATTTTTGGCTCCCCAGCTTGGCACAGTGAAATGATAACGCAGTGCGCAGAGGTATTTAGTGTACATCTCAGTGGTTTAATAGCAGAGGAGTGAGTGATGGGCTGCTGCTGAGCTGCGGTATGCTGCGCTTCAGGCTCTCATCCCTGCTAAGTTTGGGCTGAAGCCCAATCCCAGTTATTAAACTGACTGTCCACCCCTTAACCACCACCACCCCTTGGGACATGGCATTGCTCAGACTGAAATAAGGATAACGTCCCTCCCACTGTTGCCATAGCAACCACTTCCAGTATCCATGAATGCACAAGCTGACAAATGGACATACGCTTTCCTACTGTACAACGCAGATGGGTGTATTTTACCGCTTTTTAATATTTTGTCTTGTGGTTCACGAGTAATGCTATAAATACCCTGAAAAAGGAGGAGCTGATCCTCTGCCCTGTTTAAGCATATGTTCAGCAGTAGAATGAAGTGCCACCATACTGCAGGTGATACAGTCTGAATCAATGCAGTGTCAGAACATGATACAGTTTGTTGTTAGGAGCTGTTTGATGCTACAGGAAATACGCTTTTTCACTTTCTTTCTGAAAGTCAGATGAGAAGATTGACACCACTCTAACATCTGTCTGATAAAAATAAAACTGGACATAGGCAACAGCATAGCTCAGCTTGTTTTAAAGGCAACTGTGTCCCATTGTTTAATGCTTACAAAAACTGAAGGGTAAAAGTTTCTACTGGTTGCTGGTCCACTTCAGGTTTTATTCGGAGTATAAAAAATGAGATTATGTGTTAAGTTTACAGGTGATGGTAGCTTTTACTCTCTCCTTTCGGCAAGGAGCTGAGATGTTTTCCTTGCCCGAGAATCAAACTTGCTTGTCTAAAATGGCAAATGTAGGCCTATTAAAGAATTTCAGACCAGCTGTGAAAGAAGTTGTTTTGTTGTTTCACTTCCTAACCCTGGAGTGCTGGTGTTTCCTAATTTTTTTTTTCTTCATTTAAAAAGACTACATCTGAGAGCATGCTGTACAGGTATGTACTATTGGTGAATCAGAGCATGGATCGAGCCGCATATTTCTGTCTGAACCCGAGCCAAGTCTGACAGTGTTGTGGCCGAACCCAACCTGAACCCAATAAGCATACTATATTTTATGTCCAAACTGAGCCTGATTTATTGAGATTGTGTGGTGTTTTTCTTTTTGCACCTTGTGTATCTAAAATCATGGATAGAGTTGTCATGCACTTAAGAAGTTCATCATTTTAATTTTTAATAGGCCTAGCACTTTAAATTTGCCTACACTAATGAAAAAGCATGAATTTGTTTACAATGCAGTTACACCAGTTTAGCCTAAAGTTTGACCTGCGTGGTTGAACCCAACTCAGACCCTCAGGTACCGACAGGGTCCTGTCAGGCTCAGTTCGGGTATCCACCCTCTAGTAGATGGCTAACAGCAACAGCTGTTTCCAGCAAGGAAAAATATGCAGACCAACCCATATCTTTTACTTGCCTGGTGGGGCAACTGCATGACACATTCCACTTGCCTGAACATCGTTTACTTGCCCAGACAAGTGGGCAAGAGTTAATGTCGAACTCTGGATTAGCTTAGCATAGTATAGTGTAGAGAAAAATTTCAAACAATTAATTTAAAGTATATAAATGAGAATCAGCAAAACTGTTAAAACTGGAGCGGGCTGTTTCTCCCATTTCAAATATACAATACAGTATATTGTAAGTTACTGTATGTGTTGGCTTGATCCTTATAAAGCTCGTTTCTCTGCAGGTTCTTTGGCGGGTTTATTTTGGATATCAAGCGAAAGGCTCCTCACTACCTTTCCGACTACACAGATGCGATCAGCCTGCAGTGTCTGGCCTCCTTCCTCTTCCTCTACTGCGCCTGCATGTCGCCTGTCATCACCTTTGGAGGACTCCTGGGTGAGGCCACTGAGGGACGTGTGGTAAGCAGCAACGTTGTTCTCATAAGAGACTATGTTCCTGTCTTATCTTGAGATTTTGGACAGACAGTCACGGTGCCCAGAAGATGCATTCTATGAATCATAGCATTATTTCCCATGTTTTCAGAGTGCTATTGAGTCCCTGTTTGGGGCTTCCATGACTGGAATAGCGTACTCTCTTTTTGCTGGTCAGCCCCTCACCATCATGGGCAGCACAGGGCCTGTTCTTGTCTTTGAGAAGATCCTCTTTAAGTTCTGCAAGTAGGCACTTTTGTTCAACACTTGTTATAGCATAATATATCCATTTTGATGGGAGATGTGTGTTTTATGCTTCAGTAGAGATGCCAGTTACCTTTACCTATCCTTCTTTTCACCCTCTGTGTGTGTCCGTGTGTGTCTGTGTGTCCTGTCTCTCTCAGGGATTATGGCCTTTCTTACCTCTCCTTGAGGGCCTGTATTGGCCTATGGACGGCCTTCTTCTGTCTACTGCTAGTGGCCACGGACGCCAGCTCGCTTGTCTGTTACATCACACGTTTCACTGAAGAAGCTTTTGCTGCGCTGATCTGCATCATCTTTATCTATGAGGCCCTGGAGAAGCTGATCCACCTGGGAGTGCATTACCCCATCAATAAAAACAACAACCTTCAGAAACTCACACAGTATTCGTAAGTGCTTTCTTCTTCATCTGTTTGTCTAATTATAATTTTGGACTTTCTAGTTGAATAAAAACTTCACATTGAATGCATTTTGCTAACTCCAGAATTTGCCAAATAAAAGTCACATTTTTAAACTCTGTTTTGTATAAAGGTAGTGCAGTGACAGATATCTGTACTTCCACGGGTGCAATGCAAACAGGAACCATGAATAGCTAATTCGGTCATATGTTTAATGGTTGGCGAAATGACAATACAGTCCATTAACAGTTTTCATAATCAAAATTGTATTTATGTAAAAAGGCCCAATGCTCTCTGGTTCCAACATCTCTAATGTGAATATTTGCTGGTTTTCCTAGCCTTTTATGAGATTTAATAGAGCATCTTTCAGGTGCTCGGAGGCCTGAAAAATAATGAAAATAAATCTGCACACCTGAGTGTCCAAAAGGTGCATTGGAGGGAACAGTAAAATGTAAAAAATCCCACACACTATCTTACTTAGGCTGAATAATTTATTAGATATATAACACTTCGGCCTATATAACCTTCATTAAGTATGTCAGTAAACGTCTCCTTCCACTTATATACACCATCGGTGCCCAGAAGATGCATCCTAATATCATCCAGTCAGAGGAAGGCAGGGTCCAAATTTATGAATCTGAATCACCTGTGTTAACCACACCCATTAAATGACAAAACTATTAAATATTCTTTACAAAATACAAATAGTATTGGTATTAGAATGTTGTTACATTTTTGCAGTTAACTTCTAGTAGGTCAAAATAAGACATTTGAATATTTCAGCTTGGCATTTGTGAAATTGTAATTGATTTTGTGGCCAAACAGTTGATCAGATAATGCTGAAAACAGTTGAAAGTTTAATTATAGTGGAAATGACTGTGTCTTGCAAACTTTGAAAAATTATGTAAATTGAAAAAATTAAATCATTACAGTTTTAAAGATTTCTGCTTTTAAAATGCATCACTAAACTTTAGTTACAGCAGTGGTTCTCAAAGTGTGGGGCATAAAGACATGACAGGTGGGGCGCAATGAATGGAAAAAATTAGAAATGGGTCATTAATACATGTAAATTAAACTAACATCAGTTCGGGGCCTGGGAGAAAAAAGTGGAACCATAGTGCAACAATAACGGTTTAACGTGGGCATGTTAACTGCCGCGCAACAGTATAAGGAAACGTTCACACAGAGGGCCAATAGTGTATGTATTGGGCATAATAACATAAATGGATAAATTTGTTACATGGACCACAAAAAAAGTAGGCGATTCAGCGCAAGCAGACAAAGAAACGACAGGCAGTAGCCTTATCAACCAAAAAGCCAGCCGAAAAGAAAATATGATGAAGCTTATCTTGCGCTTGGATTCACGGTGGGAATGGTGGGGGCAGAGGAGAGACCCATGTGTGTCTTGTGCCTTAAACCGCTGGCAGCAGACAGCATGAGACCCAACAAATTAAGAAGACATTTAAAGACAACACACCCCAGTCACGTTAATAAGCCACTCGGCTGGCAGAATACCACCAGCAGGAAAATCGCATGGTAAAATCTGCATCAGTGAACAGCAAAGCACAAATGGCTTCCTTCAAAGTTGCATACAGAATTGCACAGTGCAAAAAATCCCACACAATTGTTGAGCAGCTCATTCTGCCTGCTGCTGTAGACATGGTGTAGGTTATGCTGGATGAGGCAAGTGGTGCAAAATTGAAAACTATCCCCCTGTCAAACGATACAGTTGCACTTATATTTTATCTGTTTTGAACTTGGTGTTATTTGATATTTCAATACATTTCAAAGTTAAAAATTGGCCAATTTCGTTTTTTGACAAGTGGGGCTTGAAAATTCGCCCACCCTCTTAAGTGGGGAATGACAAAAAATGTTTGAGTACTACTGAGTTACAGAAATGACTGAAAATAAATCATAAGGAAGATTCCAGTTGGTCGTTGTAGTGTAACAAGTTTCTTTTCTTCATGGTGATTTTTTTTTATTTAAGACATTTTACAAATGCTTTGCATGCATGGAGCAACAAATTGTGCAGTGGTATAGTAGACATGGTAAACAGTCTCACGCTTGTATAGCGCTTTTCTATGCATGGCAGCACACTCAACACACTTTCACAGTATTTGGCCATTCATACTCCCAAGCACTCATACATTCACACACTGGTGTCATCACCGGTCAAGGACACTTCGACATGTGGACTAGACAAGCTGGGAATCGAATTGCTAATTTTTCCAAACAACCTGCTCTACCTCCTGAGCCACACCCCTGACATGCAGTCTAGTAGTTCAGTAATAGCTGGAGCATCATTTGTCCTAGTGGCTGTGTTAAGCCAGGCACTCTATTCTGGTGTAGTGGACAGCAGGGGATGCTGACATTTAGTTTTGCCAGCAGAATAAGTCATTTCATATTGCAGGCTGAACATTTCAGAAATGGAGTGTAATGGAATATGTGGAACATCATAGTTCTGCAGCAAATGATTATGTTCATTTTTGATTAATCTGTCCATTGTGTTTTCTATTATTAAATAAATTGTTTGGCTTTTAAAATGTAAAAAAGCCCAAGCGAAATCTCAAGATATTTCATGTCATACAAACCTAGCTGGTAAAATGCACTGGAAAGCGTTTTCTACGTCTGTCTCACGCTGCAGATAGAATTCCATTATGTCAAACAAGCCACACTGAATCTATGAGACATATGTTTCCCATAGAACCCTCTCATTTTTTATGCTACATGTGTATTTTTGTCCCCTCTGGTGTTTTTATTGAAGCATAATGTCCACAGTCAGCTGTTTAAATCACACAATTCTTGTATTCTGTTTCTACTGGTATCTGTTATGATTAATCAGGCTCCTTGAACTTCACTTTCACTTTCTTCCTCTGTAACAAGTGTAACCCTTTTGCCACCCGGCTCGTTATAGTAAGGGAATAGCTACTTAGTGCATACCCCTCTAAACTCAAAAAACAAATTGGCAAAAGAGACATTCCAATGTAAGAAACTTTGTCTAGGGTTCAGTATGATCCTCACCTTTAAAACATCAATTGGAGTTTTCCCAGAAATGATATTACTTCAAATAACTCAGAATATGCATGTACTTTGTTATCTTTCACAACTGGGTCGGGGCAGACGAGTGCCAGTGCATCAATGGTCTCCGTCACTCCTACATCGGCTTCCCTGAACTCCAGCTTGATTGACAAACAGCCATCATACGGGTAATCAGCAGGACTGAGACCCCATATTTGCAAAGAGCTGACAGGTGTCAATGGCAAGTGCGTCAGGTATCTGTCGTAGAAGGATCTATAGAGCAGAGTGACTTGAGAACCAGTATCGAGTATAGCTTTAGTGTAAATGCCTTCAATCTGGACTGGTACAGCAGAGCTAGGGCCAACTAAGCCTTTAGGGAGAGTGTCTTCCACTTCTTTCTCTGTTTTGATGCTCTTGGAACG